TTAGCCAGGAGAGATAAATAGGACAAAAATGTCCATCTGGGACAGGACAATAATTTCTTTATCTGGCACATGGTAAGCCTGAGCTGGAAGCTTACCTGTGACATAATTAGCCACAAGGAAGGAAGGAGAGGAGCCTCAGGAGAAGATAGAAGGGAGATTAAGGTTAGGTCATATACTCATGTAATCAGGATATAAACAGAACAGAACATGTGGATGTTTTATGAAAACTGTGTTGAAAAGCAGAGGAATCAAGAGAACAGGCAGAAACCGACGACCCTGAACAGAGCTGAACCCCAAACTGCTCTTTACCTTCAGCTCTGCTTTTTTTATTTGCATGAGTCAACCTTGTGAAAATCCATAAGTCATTTGCAAGGCCGTTACAGGACATATCATGTCAACAGCAAACAATATCTGGGACATCCAAAAAGCAAACAGCTACTGCCATTAATCTCCCTGGTCGGTTCACCTCATTAAACAAAAAAATAGTCATTGTTCATAACAAGATAAACAAAAAGTCATTCAACAGGAATCAATACAGAGCAGGGATGAGACTGTGGTGAATATAAAAGATAATAAGCACACCTGGGTGTAATCTCCACCCTGTTGGTGAACATAGCTGCTGTCCTATCATCTGCGATCACTAAAGATGGAGGGACGTTTTCCTTTGAGCTTCTGAACTCGCTGTGAACTCTGCCCACTAGCACACCCACAGTATTCATCCACCACCAGTGCATTTCACTGGAAGAAATTGTTCATTACGGAGCACTGAGACCCGACAGCACCGCCTCCCTCCCGCCCTCCACCGGAGCATCAAACCAGGGTCCCCCCGGTTGGGGTTCTGGTGGCTGATGGGTAAGTCTTTCTTTCCTGCCTTCTGTTGCCAAGAGGAAATGAAGGGATGATCTTTCCGGCCTCCTCCACTCGTCACTCCCACGGAAAACAAACAGGAATGTCTTATAACCTGCTTGTTGACTTAAAGCAACGACACCTGAAACAAGAACCGCAACTAACCATTATGTTCAAAATCAGCTGTTCTATAGATTATTCTGATTAATCACATTTTTCATTTGACCACTGAAGCATTTTTATACCATATTAGAAATCATTAAACTATAAATATGAATAAATAGTTCTATTCTTTCTGAAATAATAAAATAAATGTTGTATTTACAGGCAAAGACGATTTTATCTTTACTGTGAAATATATATGAATTTATAAAGTTTTTGTTTAATTACTGCAATAAAGATGGTGTTTTTTTGTGTCCGTATACTCCTATTAGCAAATAATCGATTACTAGTTGACAATTATTTCAATAATCAATCAATCATGATGAATGTGATTCATCATTTCAATCCTGACCTGGACATGCTGCTGTTTCGGCTTTAAAACCATTAAAATGTTCCCCACTGTGGTTTAAAAGAATACAGAGGAAGGAACAGGACTTAACTCTGTTGCTGCTCACTGTCAATCAGCTGCCTGAAACAGGACGCTGCACTTTCCTGTTGTCAACTACAAATAAATAAAATAATGTGACAAAATCACAGCAAAGGTCATGACTGCCACAGTGCCAGCTGCTGTGCCGAGCAGAAAAAAGGGACATTTTTCTTCACCATAAACCGGTTTGTTTGTTCAATGCTGTCAAAAACACAGAGGATCACGGTTTGCAAACCAAAACGGCGCCACCTGTTGCTGAGTGTGGTTGTAAAACTGCAGTTTGGAAGTGAAGCAACCGACTCCAGGTTGATTACACACAAAGTGAACAGCTAAGCCTCTTATTTTGGTTCTGGTCCATTAAGAGAATAACATCAGGAAGATTCTGCACCAAGCAAATGTAAACTACAACCAAAATCAGCAGATATGTTCTTCCGGAGGTTCGTTTAAGTTTCTGCATGAAAAGCTGGATAATAAATATAAAAACACCTATAATAACTATATTAATCAATAGTAGCAGAAGGAATAATTGTTGCCTTTCTGTTCAGATAATCACACATATAATGACATAAAAAGCTTTGAAAAACTGGCATGTTTACCTTAAGGTTATATCATGAGAATCTCATACCAGTTTTGTTAAAAATAAATATCATTAAATTTGAGGCTTAATTTGTTTTAGTAACATCCATGTATTTCATCCTATATGAAAATCTTTCCTTGTGTAAGCATCTGTGTTAGTTTATTAGGCTTGGATTAGATCATTGATTTAACTCCTTTGGGTTGTTTTTTTGAACTTCTAAATCTATTTCAGCTAAATTAAATAATAGCTTATGTAAACACTCAGTTCATTTAAGTTGGTTTGGATTAGTTAATTGATTAAACTGCTTGTGGGAATTGTTTCAATCTGTGACTCCTTGTGAAAGTTGTCTGGTCATTAAAATCAAAGGCAACGACTGACTGAACTAAAGGAGGATGGCTTTGAGTTTTTAAAATGTCAGTTTTTAATGTGCAGAGTATATTTGCTCAAATGACACTCTGAATTATAAGACAAAATTTTGCATGTAAAAAAATGCATGTAGTCATGTGGAGTGCAAGCACCGCTGGTGGAGCATGGGTTGCTTTCAGTGGTATGAATTATTTTTTCAAAATAAATTCCAACAAATAGACTGTAACAAAAACAAAAACTAACAACTGAAGCCAAAAACAGCAAATCCAGAGAACTGCTTTATATGCAAGGTAGTCATTATCAATCTTTCCTATTTCAAAAATGTGCATTTTTACTTTCTGGGTAAGAATGGAGTCATAACTAAACCACATCCTTCAAAAAATAATGAGGTGGAATTATTAAGGAATTTTTTTTTTTCTTTTATTTCTTTCACTGAATAAAAACAAACCAACTCCAGTTCCAAAACAAATAATTACAAATTCTTCATTTACTGCTGGTCCAAATGTCTTTGTGTCAACAGGCAAGTTTTTCATAGGAGGAGACAGAAATCACATGCGGGGAACCTCAGGGTTCAACCCTGGGACTCCTTTCATTTAATATCCACTGCTAACACTAACCCAGTTCAAGTAATAAGATTAGTTACCAGATGAACCTGAACCAATCAAAGCACAAGATGCTTTGGGCAAATCAATATGTGCCAAAACTTTCTCCAGCTGAAAAGAAACAAAACTGAAGTCGATGCTGAAGAGGAATGATCAATAATCAGCAGCACACACCTTCACCTACTACAGCTGGAAACTAGTGATTAGGCGTGAACCTTCAGAGGCACATAAAGACAGTTACAAAGCCGGCCTTCTATCAACTGAACAACATTTCCAGAATTAAAGGACTAATGTCCCAACAAGAGCTATAATTTCAATATAAAGACTCATATATGGTTTATATTTTTGTGCTAGTTTTACACATATCTGTATTAAATGTTACTATACTGTGAGAACTGCAGGTTTATGGAGGTGAAAATTGTCAGAAACATTTTGAGAACCACCTGCATGGAGGATGACTTTAGCTTCAGAGAGAGAAGGGAGAGAAAGAATAAATAATGGAGGTGAAAAGCAAACATGATAATCCACCAACACCTGACAGACCTCCAAAGCAAATATACACACATCACTTTTTCAGTTCGTAGCAGGATTTCAGTTTAACTAATTACAGTTTCACTACAACCTCTGACCTCAGATGTAATCATGTTACATTCTTTTGAGATTTTGATTTTGTTCAACAATAAACTAAGCAAGAAATGTTTTATTTATTATCAGCAATAGAAGCATGAATTCTTTGGACCAGCTTTAATCATCATTCAGAGGCCCCACAAAATGGCCCGCAAATGGCCCCCGAGCCACATTTTGGTCAACCCTGCTTTTGAGGACATCAAAGTGACTCATGAACATCCAAAACAACCAAATGGTTCTTCACAGAGACTCTTCCAGCAGAAAGAAGCACAAAGCCGAGCTGAAGAGCAACACCTGGCAGTTGTGTGTGTGTGTGTGTGTGTGTGTGTGTGTGTGTGTGTGTGTGTGTGTGTGTGTGTGTGTGTGTGTGTGTGTGTGTGTGTGTGTGTGTGTGTGTGTGTGAGTCATGCAACAGCTCACACACACCTGCTCTTCCATCAAAGCCAGAGCCACACCTGAGCCCCAAACTATCTACTATCTTAAATCTGCCTTTGCTCAAACCAAAGCAAAGTTTTTCTGTAGGTAGAAACATGAATTGGGAGAGAAATGCAGAGTCTTCCCTGAGCGTCATCTGGTTCTGGTGCCGCTGGTGTGGATTACAAGCATTTATAACGGGAGAACTCGGCCTGACTCTTCAACTCTATCCCTGGGGAAACGGGAGCTCCTCTGTGATGGGGGGCCGGGTATCTAAAGGCAGGAGGGCGAATATTTGGATATGGGCAGATTACCGCCTCACATGATTAGCATTCTTCTTCTTCTTCTATGACACAGTTTGTCTGGGATCCTTTCAGTTCCCTTCTACCGCAAACAGGAAGCCCGTTTTTAACACAAACTTCTCTGCAACCAAACAAAGTCACCGCTTCATAAATTCCCTGTGGTCGGCTGCGTCTTTACGAGAGGCTGAGTGAGACGTGAGAAAGCTGAGCAGGACCTCCATAATCATCAAAGTAGCACCAAAACATGCTTGTTTTATCTCATTAAACACAATAAGCAGCTGGCCACTTTACAAGCCTTTGAGTTTTACTGGCCTGCTTAGGATTAAATAAGGGTTTAACAAACGCAGTAAATATGAGGAAAACACAAAGCTGGAATGCAGAAACAATTTAAGCAGCAGCGAATCTAAATGGTTATTAATCAGCCCAACAATGAAAACATTTCCACTAAAACAAAAAACAATATAAACACAACCATCAGGAACAAATAAACTACGGTAACTTTTTTTCTTTTCTGCATCTTCTGATAGATTTAAAACTAAAGCAGAATAGTTTGTCTGAATATTTTGTGTTGCTCAATAATGTAAAATCCCAATAAAATATAAATACTGTTTGTGATAAAGGCTGAAGTATCATGAATACTTTTGCGAGGCAGCGTCTCGGGTCTCTGAGGCTCTTACCTGTAGTATCTGCTCTGCAGGTAGGTGGAGCACACAGCTTTGGACACGTGGCTGGCTGAACCAAAGTCAATGACTTTGACTCTGTAGGGCTGACGCGAAGGATCCACCAGCATGATGTTCTCCGGCTTCAGGTCGGCATGGATCAGCCCCAGGCTCTTCAGCTTCATCAGCGCCGTGGCGACCTGCTGGAGCACCGGTCTGATGTACTTGAGCGGCAGCGGGCTGAACTTGTTCTGCTTGAGGAAGTCATACAGGTTCTGCTCCAACATCTCAAACACCAGGCACGTGTGGTTCTTGTGCTGGAAGCACTCATAGGCTCTCACAAAGTTGTAGTCGTCTGCGCTCTCTGTGCTGAGGCGCGCCAGGATGCTGACCTCGATCTGACCCTGCCGCGCGTACGATGGGTGGTTTTTTAGGATCTTGATGGCCACTATCTCATTGGTTCCCCTCTTCCAACACTTAACCACCTGACCAAAGGTCCCCCTCCCCAAGAACTCCAAGACTTCATAGGTGTTGGTCATGGAGCAGAGCACCTCGTGCTGCACCAGCTGGTAGTCCCCCTCGTTGTTGGAGCCGCTGTTCTTGGATGTGGCCGTGGAGGTGGCGGTGGCCGCTGTGGCCGCCGTGGCTCCGCTGGTTCCGCCGTTCTGGATCATGGGTGGGCCGTGCTCCTCAATGATCTGCACGCTGCTGTTGTTGTCGAGCTCTTCACTCTTGCGCTTAAGCCCGCATCGCTGGTAGGTGTCCAGGAGGCTCACCGTGCTGCGCCGCGTCAGGTTGTGGACTCCGCCGCCGCCACTACCACTGCCGCTGTCTCCACCGCTGCTGCCCAGCAGAGAGCTGACGGCCCCCGAGGTGCTGCTGGCCGAGGCGACCACGATGTGGCCAGTGCTGGCCGGGAAGATCAGGGTCTGCTCGTAGGGCAGGGCGGAGCCGCTGAGGCCTAGAGGAGCGCCACCGGTGGCCGACACGTTCTTGCTGCTGTTGTAGACTTTGCTATGCGTGCCGTACCCTGTCATATCCCAGTTACAGCTCTGCTCCACCTTCAGTTTCTTTACGCTAAAGAAGGCACTTGACTGGAGAGTGTGAGGGGAGAACACTTGCACTTGCGAGGCCATTCCTGCAAAAAGAGGGGGAAACAAAATGAAGGCGTAGAAGTTAGGAATCAGAAACAGGAGCAGCAGCTACGAGCTTTAACGAAAAGCAGCTTGAGGTCGGAGCAGGTCACTGAAACACAGAGAAATATTCATTTATTTCAAACTTCCAAAAAACTGAAAAATTGAGTAGCTTTAAATTAAGGCTAAAACCTCCTAAGATTTGCTTCTGATTACTAATCAATGAAACATTGATCAACATATATGATGTGTATTGACCATTTTGATGATGGCACTCGACAAAATGGAATGTTAGTCACTGGTTTCTCTGTTTTGTTGTTTTTTTTTCTAGTGTTTTTATGATGTTAAGCATTTTAAGCTGCCTTGTTGCTCAAATGTGCTGTACTAATAACCTTAATGTATAGAAATATTTATATATTTAACTGACTCTTCCAGTGCACCAAAGTCAGATAAATCACTTTTACCAAATTATTAGCAAACAATCTGAAAAGTGTGGCTAGCATTTCTGTTCACCCTTGCCACACTTCTCAGATTTCTGCACAAAAACAAAAAACAAACTTTGCATTATTTCCCTTATAATTCACCATTTTGCTTTACTTCCTCAAAAAAATTAAACATATTGTTGTATTTTTTTCAACAATATGTGTCCACAAGAAACTCTTTCTAACATTCATATAATGTTAGAAATACTGGTATTTGCAAGTGAAACAACTTGAGATTCAGTCAGGAAGTTCTTCAGATTGTTCAGCTGCTTTAAGAAGTAGCAGATTTAGATTAAATATTGCTCATGCAAACCACCGGGTCCTGCAGAGGAAATGCCTTTTCCCCTTTCTTCCCATCTGCAGACTTGTGAAAACTACAAGAAGAGCTTTTCATTGGACATTCCACTGAAGCTCAGCAGCACAAAATAAAACCAGAAAAAACAGGTTTGACAAATGCAGCTTTGAAGGAATCGTGTTTTTCTGATCCTCCCAGCCCTCCAGAGGCAATTATTGGTACACAATTACTCACTTAAGAGGAGGTGGAGAAAGAAACTGTAAAACAAGAAGAAGGGCCAATGAACTCTTGAACAAGCAAGAGATCCTGAAAACAACAAAACAAAAGCAGAAGCGAGCAGCGAGGCTGAACTCCTGGGAACGAGTTGCCTCAGAATAAGCAAGAGCTTCTCCAAGCAAACAGCTGCCCAAAATAGTCCCTTCCTTTATCTCACTCTGTTTTCTGCAAACAGATTCCTTTGTAACACAGAAATTATTATTACAACACATAAACGATTATCCAAGGCTTCTGCATGGAGACCTGAAATGAAGAGTTTCTCCCCTGTTCCCACAATACTCAAGTAAATAGCCTTCAAATTCTGTTTTCTGGAGGAGAAATTAGCCATTGGGAACCTTTTTTTGCTTTCACAAATAATTGAACAGCCATAGTTCTTCCAAAATAGGACAACAGTTGTAATAGTTGGGCTCCATTGTGCCGCCTGAGGAAGTCATTTTTAGCCTTTTCACTGTTGATGATGATTAATTGAGCAGGAAGCTGCTGCCCTCCTCTACACTTTGATTCAATTGTTTTATTTTGCCACTGCTGACCTTTCTTCCTCCTGCATTTTGAATTTCTTATTTATAGTTTGGCCCACACTGCAAAAAAACATTTGCACCAAGTATTTTTCAGTGCAAAACTAACTTACAGGTAACTTTCCAGCAAGTTATAGGAGCTTGGTTTAAGTCAATAATTATTTAATGATGAAAAAGTTCTAGTTCCACATACAACATGTGAAAAAAGTCAAGTAAAATAATCTCCCAGTGGAACTTGTACTTTTTAAAATCAGTATTAAGAAAGCATGAACTTAAAACAAGCTCATATGTCTTTTCTTTTTCCAAACAAAAAATTGTTTGGACATCAACAGTTGGACGACTCCTATTAGAAATAAAATAGCAAACATCATGGGAACATTGGAGAAATAAAATGTTTAATAAATGTAAAAGGCTTCTTGGATATGTCCTATTTATGAGGAATATGAGGAAAATGCAAACAAAACAACAAGACATATTTGATAAGTTACAAAAAAGGCTTTATGCTTATAAATACAGTTGATCCCATGAACCAACTAATAAACAATTTATTCAAAGTAATAACTTAACATTTAGCACAAAAATACTAGAAATAATGCATAAAGCTTTGAAAGAATCATCTTTCTGGAATTTAGAAACTATTGAAATTAAGGCAGAGTAAATCTAATTTATGAGGTTTGTTCATATTTGAACACAATAAAGAGAAAAGTAAAGTCTCGATGTGTTTCTGGTGTGAAAATATGGAATGAATTTAATGATGAACTCAGATTATGTGCTATTAAAATATTGAATTATAATATAAAATTATATTTTATTTGACAAATAAAGTGAATCTGAATCAAATTTACTATGATATTTGCACCAGAATATTTTAAAAGATTTTGTGTTTTGTAGTTTGACTCCAGTGATTCTTCAGGTGTCGAATGTAGCAGGACTGAAGGTGCTTTATAAATGAGGGCGCTTTAAATTAGACCTTCTTCATGCTTTCTGTCGGCTCTTTCCATGAAATCGACACGTCTGCGCAGCGCCGTCTGACTCCTCCAGAGAAGCAGTGAAGAACGTCCGCAGGGCTATTAGGGTCAAGGCTCTCTGCTAATCACATAAGCCCTGAAGGCCAGATGTCACTCCTTGGATTACCGATTCCTGCGCCTGGACTTTAACGCTAAAAATAATTTGAATGATGGTTTGCGTCAGAGAACGGTGTGACTGAGCGCGCCGGGAGGATAATCGCAGGCGCAGAGTGACGGACGGCCGGTTTGGAAACTGCCAGGGTCATTATGGATGGCTCTGGTTTTATGAGGTTAGCCAATCTTTGCAAACAAATTCCTGCTCAGCTCTGGTCACTCATTGACCCGCGGTCAGAGAGATGCTCACCTATGCAGGTGCAAAGAACTGTGACCGATAGGCGTCATATTAAACAGAAATAGAAAGCAAGTTAAAGCAAGTAGTTCAAATGAAAATATATAAAAACAGAATAAAGAATAAAATACTGTACAGCAGAGGTCTCAAGCTCTTTTTCATTTCAGGCCAAATCAAGATCAAAAATGTTTTTAAAGAGCAAAAAGTATTGATAATAACCATCAGAAATCTCTTGAAGTAGTATTACATATTTTACAGGCACATAGTTTGATTTTATAGCACAATCAAGTAACTACATTACTATAAAAATGCTATAAATGTCAAATATGACAATAAAGAAATTTGACTTTGTAATTTAATGCCTTGAAATTGGACCTCTGTCTCTTTAACTCATGCTCTTTCTGAAACATTGAAGCTGCAGGATAGCTTTAAGGCACTTTATGGATATCCTCTGGCCATAAAGCAAAATATTGAAGGAATTGAAAAGATTTACACGAAAGAGACAGAATCCTAAATAACTGATTTAGACAGTTTATCAGCATAAAAAGTTGATTTGGGTGTCAGTCATCAACTACCAAATTTTCCAGAAACAGAACAAACTAACAGAAAACTGCAAAACAGCTGAAACACTGAGAACCTTTAAGTCTAGACCAAAAGCCCAGCTGCTTAGAATTGCTTTTGAAACATAATATAATGTGTAACGATACCACTTGACAACTGTTGGCTACAATTTTGTATTTTTTGTGTGTTAAGTTATAAAACACTTTGATCTGCCTTGTTGCTGAAATGTGCTATAAAAATAAACTTGACTGAAACTTGATTGATTGAGTTACATTTAAAATGTGAAAACTAAAAATAACAGTGGAAATGAACATTTATGGTGATAAAGTTTTACATCTACTGAGAGGAAGGATCTCATAAAATGCTCCTTTGTGCACATCGTATGCAACAGTCTGTCACTGAAGGAGCGCCATAGACTTCTTCAGTCACTTGTTTTTGGATGAGGTGCCATTGGTCAGTCGATTTTAAATTTTCCTCCACAATTAAAGAAAATGACCATGACTGAACTGGAAATTCAGCTTTGAGAGAAAAGTTAAAGGTTTCCAGCAGCAGTTTGAAAGCCTGGTGCAGAACACAGATAAGTAATTAAATGAACCAACTGTAAGAGGTCAGATGGGTGGAATGTTATCTCATGACAACATTCACAGGCAACAATGGAGCCAATTATAGTTTGTTGGAAACAGAGCTCCGGTTCTCATGAATCCATCTTCACCAAACTTACAGTTCCAACATATTTATGATCTCAAACCCTCCGTGCGATCTGAAATCTATGCTTGAATTTCTGAACTCCAAAGATCCATTGTTGCACTTTTACAATGTTGGAACGCCTTCAGTAACCAAGGTTTTCCATTTAGCATACCTAAAGGAGCATTGTGAGTCCCACACACTGCAATTAAGCATACCAGAGAGGCAGTTCACTGCGTAGGGAAGCAGCATGTTGAAATGATAATAGACAATGTTTTCAGAGAGATTACTTCTCTGTCAGGGGTTGGTTAATCTCCTTTTTGGGGAGGATCAGCGTGGATAGTAAGGGTGAGGGAGGGGAGGAGAACGGAGACGAACAGGGAGGTCATGAATGGCCGCTGACGGCTTCTGTTTGCCGTCTTTTATTAAACTCATCTATATTAAGTTCCTGACAGCGAGAGCAGCACTGAGAACAGCTTCAGACGCCACTAAATATGCAAAGTGAGCAAAAATAGTCATAAAAATGAACAAAATTGCCACAGAAATCAGAGCAATTTGCAGTTTGAGAAGCAGAACGATGTATAACTGTTTCACCAGAGGAACTGTTCAATGTTCCGTCGACAACCAGAAGAGATCGAATGTAGGAACATCAGCAATCACCTGGGAGACGCCAGACTCCAGTCTGTTCAGTGTCTCCAGGCTTAGATATATTTAAACAACTTCTTGAGGCTGAATGGCTGCGGACACCGAAGGAAATACTCTAATGACCCCGTCTCTCTTAGTGTAGGTCGGAGCGTCATCAGGCTTGGAGGAAAAGGGGGGTTGGTCCAAAACGT